TTTTTTTTAAGTTCTTCTTCACCACGCTCGGGGATGATTCCGCCGCAGTAAAATACTTCTGAAAGAGAGCTTTTCAAATCTGCAATTTTTTTCGCGGGGTTCGCCGTAGTTATCGAGATATGGCGATTCTTGTGGGATGAAGTGCCTTCTGCATTGATGGTAATGGAGCCATATCTTTCTCAAAAACGAAAACCCCGCGCTGTGGATAGTCTTATTCGATCGCTGCTGGCGAGAGCTTTCTCACGAATATTTTGGTTCCGCTCAATTCGTTGAAGAAGGTTATTTTTTTTTTCAAAGCACCCGTATTCGGGCTCACACTTTCCGGCACTGTATCTGCTGGCGGTGCAAACTGTTATCCCGATCCGAGGTTCAGTGCGGACGAGACCTGCTGTTGCCCAGAATCGACTACACGTACGACAAACATAACAGCATTGCTGCTCTCTCACGGGTATGCATTACCTACTGCTGTCGTGCAACCATCCAGTTAGTATTCTCAAGGGCAGGTGATGGGTTCGAGTCCCGACAGAGTGAGTTTTTTCTCGCTAATTAAATCCTGGTCTCCGTCGGAAGCGATTCGCTGCAAAGCTCGTTGTTAGTAAACTTGATCGACTTCATAAGTCGCGAGGGAAGGGATTGCTGTACCCTTCTCGCGATTTAATTATCTCAGGCAGGAACCGCAGGAGGGGGTCCAACCCCCCCTCCTATGTGGCCCCGGTTGGGTCGTCTAGCTGGTTGAAGTGGATGGTAGGGGCCAGAGGGGCAGACGACAGAGTCCAATGTCCAATGATGGGAGACCAAAAAAAAAAAAAGCTCTACGTCGGTCGTATCGGGGGCACCGATACAATAAGAACAGATTGCCAACGTACTGCACGCCCCAGATCAGTCTACCCTGCCGCCCGGCAGACAGAAACGCAACAGATTTTGTAACGATGGGAACGAAGAATACCCGGAGGAAACAACAGTTCACGGGGCGGGGTTTCATCACACCTCATTTTGATTCTTTTAACATACAAACATATTAGGAAGGTGCGTCACAACAAGCACACCGCGTCCTGAAAACGAGTGGCAAACAAACACTTGCTTGATGGTGTTTGGATGTTGCCTGCCTCCCGCGTGTTCACGCTTTTCTCGCAGGCATCTCGCGAAAGCACGAGTGAGACGGGCATGTTCCGAGAACAAACGACCGATCCCTGCTTCTTCTACAGAACATATGCTTACTATCTGTGACAGCGAGCAGCAGCAGCAGCTGACGTGCCTGCCGATCAATTATTGTATGTATTCGGCGCTACAATTGTTGCTGTTGCTTTTTGTTTTTCTTCACAATAACTCGTGTCAGTTGCTAATAATCCCAAAATCTAGCAAAAGACTCGGTCCGTGGTCACAAAAATGCTAGAGCCATCAGAAAATCTGAAGAACACACACACTATTAGCAAGGAAAGGGTACGCAAGCCCGAGGAAGTACATCTGCAATCCCTGCAGCACGTTCGCGTGCTCACAATACAATGTGTCGGAACCGCTGGTCGACCGCAACGAAACCAGCAGCTTCTCAACCTTGAGTAAATATAAATAGCGACACGAACATCTACCTCGTGATTTGCTATCCGTTGGAATGATGCGTATTTTCTGATACATAGATCGAGACTATTACGAGAGGATGAACGGTTGAGGGAAACATTAAATAGCGACAACTCCCCACAAAGGTAAAATGCGCATGAACGAATGTGTGTATGTATCCCACTGGCAGCAGCACCGTGCTTTTTCGTTTGACTTCCGCGGTGGGTGCAGCCAGTCGCCAAAATTCGGCCAGCGAATGGTTGGGTAGCGATGGACCTACTTCCTCCCTCTGTCTATTATACTATATAGATACGGGTGCGGCGCGTAACCTGTTCGTGTGCGGCGGGAAGCGGGAAGCAAGGCTTCACAACAACCCGCCCGTGGGCTGGGTCCAAATGGAATTGTTCAAACTGCTGCACTCTGTAAAAATACTCTTGTTGCCGCTACTTGACGCCAATGTCCAAAATCCAGATTGCTTGATGTCGCAGGCTACTTGTCTCGATGCTGTTGGTTCACTCATCATGTAATGCATGTACGGCCACGCTGAGCACGTACGTGCATCTAGACATCGGACCGCTAGAAAACCGGCGCTACTATCATGACAACAGTGACGACTGACTGGCTACATAGGATTGGGGTCTTGCGTCCGTTGCTCACCCAGCGGGGCTCACGAGCCCCTTTCAAAACTGCCAAAAAAGAGCGAGCACGATACACACATTTTTTTTGCATTTTTTCGTTCCTCAAGGGAATCTGTTCAGCGCATGCAGCAGCATCATCTCTGCTCTCGCAATGCGGCAAGGAGATCAACCGACCGAGGGCACAAAGAAAAACGATAGCAATTGGAGCACGAAGCCTTCTGCTGCCTGCCCTCTACCACGCGTGTCTGCTTCTTCTATTGCTCCTGCTATCATTGCAGCTGGTTCCTGTAGTGATCTGCGTCATGTGTTCCTGCCCTCCGGGACTCCAAATTTGTTGAGGGGTCTTCTAAAGGCAGGCACCACTGGCTGCTGCTGTCACGCACATACCACGGTTGGATTTATTGACGCCATTTCAATAATTCCCCGCCAATCTTCCCCGCTCTCTCGGTTAGAACATGGCTGCAATGGGCCCGGGATGAAGAAGAGTCTCTGCAGAGCAGATGCACTGCACCACAGGCCCTCTACCGCTGCCTACTTCGGGCGAGGAGATGCACACCTTGAAGGCCATGCGAGCCATGCATACCTACCTACCCCACGATATGAGAGAGCCCTTCGGTTTGGTTGGTCTGCATCAGAAAGATGACGCTCTTGCATAGCATGTGTCCTTCAAGAAGTGTGCCGCCCGCCCCCGCCGACTCATTCACTCATCATCCCATCACACACCACCCTCTCGCCTTCCTCACACACCTGATGAAAGGAGCCCGCTACCCGTAGGATGCTCTGTACGTTGTCAGTGGAAGGGTTTTCGGCCTTGGAGCTCCGAGTAGTTTGGTGAAGTGCTCCTTGGTGATCTGCGGCAAGGGTCGGATCACATGCATCACGTGAAAAAAAAAAATGAACGCGGGGCGATTAACCCACGAGAAATACTCTTGGAAATTTCTTCGGGCGTGCTTTCGGGATTTTTACGCTTTGTACAAATGGCGCATCGTGCTCGAACACTACTGCCTCGCACCCGCCGGGGGGGGGGG